TACAAATTTAATACAAATTTACTCGCGRATTTTGTTTTGTCTCCGCACCGATGATTATTTGGCAATACGCGCATTTCCATGGGTGTGTCAACGCTGATTTTCTAATTATAGAAATCGAATGCAAATGCACAGCAACAAATTACGCGCACTCGTACACACACACACACGCACAGTAGTACGTAGAAATATGTATGCATAACCAACCATGAAAAATAAACAACAACAACAACAACACCAGTGCTAGAGGAAGTCAACAACAATGAACAGCGATGATGAGTAAATATGCAACAACAAATTTGTTTGTTGCTTTCGATATCGTGCTAACTCTTGAAAATTGYTAGGGCTTTTGAGGAGTGCTGAGTTTTCGGATGACTAAGGGTCTAACTCAGGGAATTTTTACAATAATGTCAGACCACATTTATTTTATGCTTTTCGTTCCAAGCGCAGCCTCATGCCACCTTAGTACTTTGCACTATATTATATAAGTGGGGATTACGTGACAGACGCGGCGAATACCAGAAATCGAGCCTACGACTAATTCATATACAAAGCGCACACAAAGAGCCAGCTTTGTCATGCAATCCACTGCGCAGGCTCACACACAGATATGAGCGCATGCGAAAATGCGCAAACGCTCCGGCCGATAGGCGATTAATAAAGCAGCTGCGTTACKTTTGACGCGGGCGAAAGGAAACCGTGATTAAGTTCTGGGAATCCATATAAATTGATTACATATGCAAATACAAAAATGTTGTGTGCAAACAAAAGGTATTTATGTGCGGAAGTATGGTTGTGTGTGTACATATGTACATATGTATGTATGTATATCTATAACATTTTAGGTGTGAAAAGCTGCAAGTTATGATTATTGATTTGAAGTAAAGCTCATCAGTGCTCTATGGGCTTGTGAGTAAGTGCATAGGTAGGCATACACACACACACTTACATATACATATTTTATAAATTAATGCGAATGAGGGGTCTCATGGATATACATACATATATCTATGTACATATGCTAATATTATTGTTGTCTAAAACCAATTAGTTAAATTATGGGCACATTTATCAGGAAATATAAACAGTGAAATGACTTGAGTGAATGCTTACGTTACTCACCTAGTGTGAAATTCCAAAAACAAATTTTTTTGCACATCTTGTTAGTCTATACATTAAAAAAAGTGAGTTTAACTCGATTTCCGAGAAAGTTCTTCTTGATTTTTCWCACTCTAGTGWATCCTTCATTAATACCCTCAATTCTGTTTTTTAGTTTAATTTAACTACTTATGTRCTTTTAATTTAATTATTTTAGAATTCGAATTTGCATCCTAATTCTCCATTAGCCTGTAAGAATTAATGTTCATAGACTTAAYTAACTAAATAAATAAATAAATAAATAAAAGTAACATACTCAAATGTTAAACGAATATTTGAAAAAAAAATGTTCGGATCACAACCAGTGTTGAGGATTTTTTAATTCAAAAATTTGGAATCAAAAATTTGAATTTTTATTTTTATTATTTTTTAATTTCAAATGGATAAAATATTGAATACGAAAGCTCTGTACGAGRTTYAGTTCAAAATGATGGAACACGAAGTGTATGCAAGCGCAAAAAACGTTAATTAAAAATAATATTTCTTTTAATTTATAATTATATACTTTTTAAATACAAAGATTAATGCTAACATTTTTTTTTTTTTTTTTTTTTTGTTTTAATTATATATCATTTTTTATATTTTTATTTATTTTTCAATTTAATGTATTGGTTAAATTTTTTTTCGAACAGGTATTTGGAAATAAAATTTTTAAAATTAGTTTTAATTGAGATTTTCGGGATTCATAAATAAAAAAAATAAATGATTTAAACCTGGAAAAATTATCTAGTTTTTTTAGCAAAATTGAATAAAAAAAAAATTTGTCTAAAATCTGTCATATCGTTACATAATTTTTTTTTTTTTAACTATGCACTTAGCCCAGCATGCAATTGGTATAGCAGACTCCTAGTGCAGTCTTGAACTTGGCAATATGGAAATAACTTGTAATTGCTCATTGAAAGCTCACTGATTAACTAGCAAGCTACTTTGCATTTGACAAATACTGAAATATCATACAAATAGTTTGTCAATATGAAATTACACACCAAAAAGTTCGAGAACAAATGGAAACAGAAACTTCAGCAATTCAAACGCACATACATACATACCATATAGCCGCTTTATCTTTTACAACAAATGATTTGTATGTACACATACGCGCTTATTTCCCCAATGGGGGTACATTAACAACAAAAACAACAAGCTTGTGTAAAGTTAGTAGCGCACAATCAGCAGATTTTATTGTTCCACACAAAACAAATGATCCGTATGCGTTTGGCGTAGCCATGTGGGGTGCAACGGCACAAAGCAAGGCCTGCCTCCTTTCAAAAAGCCTATCTGCCTGATAAGGACTGATAGATTTACTGTTTATAGATGGCATGTTGTGAATGAGATGACGAAAATAAATGCACATACATACGTTAGGATGGTAAAAAGTACAAAACATAACGAATAAAGTTTCGGAAAGCAAACCAAATTATATAACCACCTCATACAAGTGATGCATATTTAGGTAAGAATTTGTTGAGCAAAACTGCTGAATTGACAGCTTTTCATTCAAAACAAAAACATTTACGTCATTCTGAGTTTCAATGAACTTCTAASCACCCTAATGAGAGCACTTGCGTAYGTTTATACTCGTATATTTTTTAAGATCTTCGAACTACTTAGTAAACAAATTAATAGATTGCAAATTTAATATATTCGTATATAAAMACACCAGTCACTGTTATCACTTCCCTTGAACAGCCGCGCCTCTCTTGTTTGTAAGTTTTCTCATAAAATAAATATTTTTATGCGCTGATTATAGGCAATTTCTTGAGTGTGCATATGTAAGTGCGGGATACGTCAATTAACACCATAATTCAAAACAGAATCTTCTAATATTTTTATTTATAACATATTTTTTTATATAAACAAACAGTTTTTTAATAAATTTTGTACCGGATTTATGTAGAAGCTCTGTACAGTATTTAAAACTGAAAATATATAAATCTACAAAGAACAAAGAACAATTTTTACTTTTATTAAATTTAGTAGGCTCAAAAGAGAAACCCTATATTACAAGAAAATTTTTGATTTGAAATTAAATAGATTTGACATTTACTAAAAATACAAAAAAATTGAAGTAGTTTTACAAAAAAAAAAATCAATTAAAAATATTTACATTTTCTAAAAAATACACAGAACAAAGTTTTTCATATCATATACTGCTACTACTGCAGACATTATGCAGCGACTCTCCGGCATCGTACGAACCTGTTGCCTACATAATGCTCTATTSAACGTTGACTCGAGTACACGTAAGTAGATATTTTTGTTATTATACTTAGCTATTAAAATAAACACATTTAACTTAGCTAATACGCAAATGAATTTGAATAATTTGCTAAATATGCTATGTACTAGTGGCTACTAAATTCTATTTGTTTCAAGGTAATCTTCACTGTCTTCCTCTTCCACCACGCTATAAGCAGATTTGCCGCTTTGTTTGCCAGCTGGTTTCTCTAAATGCGTATCGAAGAACTCATCGACGGTGTCTGTATTCCATTTGGTTATGGATAGTGTCTCCTGCACATTACCGCGAGCGTCTAGTAATTTGACAGTCGGATCAAGGCCACGCATATATTTAATTTGTAAATTCGAATATTTCGCCGGTCTGCCACTCTTTATGAATGCTTCAATTTGTGGATAGGCACGAAATTTGCATGTGCATACTTCGAGAATGGCTTTCGGCCAACGACGTTGTGCAGCCGGCTGTTTATCAGGCGCACAGCACTCCTTGCAATGTGGCCTTTAAATAAAATTAGACGATTTCAATACCTTTAAAACTATAAGCAAACATATACTTACTTTATCGAATCCAAACCGAAATCATTTAATTTTTCACAGGATGAACACATTAGTTGGGCTTTGTTAAACCCAAGTTCTCGGCAGTCCTGCGCTGTGAACTCAGCAAATATGCTGCACTGAAATATCACGCGTTATTGAAATAAATATTTGTTGCTAATAAACAATACTTACAGCACATAAAATCAGTAACAATGTAATATACTTTAACATTTCTATAATTTTGGTAAGTATTTAACCGAGTAAACATAAAAGACACGTACAATTTGTTATTGAATTATGGCAGTAGAATAATGCTTATTGAACACAGCTTTCATTTGACAGTCCCTACGCAATACCAGAGAACAGGGCGTCGAATTATCGAAATCAGTAAAACCTTACATTTCAATTATATATAAATTTTTTTTTTATAGATTATGAAGTTATAAAGTTTATACCTTAAAATCGTTTGTGGAAATTAAAACATAAATAAGACAATATTTTAGCTGTAAAATAATAAAATTTTATTTTGTAATATTAAAGCCCATTATTAGTACCGCAATGCATAAACGGTTTGTCGATACTGCAGTGCAGATAATTTCCTTCCTAAATCCTGAGTAACTCGAAAATAACAGTTCGGAGATGTATGGAACGAAACCTTAAGSTTTATATGATATTCAATTGAAGTACCAAAATATTTATAAATGCGTAAAAGTCACAAATTCACCGATAAAATGAATTTTCAAACAAAAAACTGTACACGGCCTAGGTGAAATTATTTATTACGTAACGAATTTAGTCCGTTTATAAAACACACACTTTCTAAATAGAATTACTATTTAATGGAATGGCRTTGACTATTCCAAGTTTATAAAAGTACTAGAGTAGGAATACTATCGATATTAAAATATTGATAGTATGAGTTATTTAGGCACCTTGTTAAAATAACGGACCTACGGAGCTGTTTATATTTCCAGGGATATTTTATTTAATTAAACATCAGTACGACAAGCTGTCAATTTTTATTCCGGCAACATCTCGGAACCTAATGCAACGGAAGTGAAAATTAAGTGTAATATTCGTTAAATAAGTGTTTTATTTATAATCGTGTATTAACAAAATGTGTTATTTTAAAGTGTAAAAACATGTTTTAACAACTAAAGTGCAAGTTAGGAATGAAACAGAAAAATGATGTTATAATTTCCAAATTTAGCGAKCCAGGKGAGTCTATGCCGGCTTATGACTACRAAAGATAAACAAAATATCTATTAATTTGCAATTATATTTAAATATGTGCATATATATTACGTTGGAAACAACTCAGCAACAGGTATGGGATGTTTAATAGTGACAGTCTCTTTGCCAGCAGGAGTTTCATACGCGATGACTTCAGTTGGCAAAACGCCGGCTAGCTGTTCCACAAGTGGTTCATTTATATGCTCTATAGCAGATGTAATGTTTTGTACCTCAGCAGGTTTGCTTTGCTCTAAAACTGGTGTAGTGTGTTCTTCTAACTTTTCTTTGTTAATTGTGGTGTGTGAAGCTTGTGCCGGGATATGTGGATCTTGCTGATGATCTATGGGCAGATTTTGTGATTGGATCATTGGTTTCTTTTCCTTAGAGTCTGCATGGCTTTCTTTACTTTCACTACTTTCTTTTGACTCATTATCCTCCTCACTACTATTTTTCTCTTTTTTCTCTGTCTTGTCACCACTCTTTGGTGACTCCTCAGGATGGTGATATTTTGGCACTAATGAAACTGGTATATCTCGTTTAACTGGCGTTGCTACATGTGCGCTCTCTGATTCGTGAGCTTCAGTGTGGTCACCAACTTCTGATACAACTGGATCTTCAGAATTTGTTTCATGTTGAACCTCTTCTTCAGTTGATTTATTTTTTTCATCACTATAAAGAAGTGGTGCCACTGGTACTGTAGATGCTCCAATTAGATGGGGATCTACTTGACGACGTTGGCGAGATTTGGGTAAATCGCGAGCAGGCGCTGGGCCAGGATGGGTCTTGCGGGATGATACAGGTGTAGGCCCAGACTTTCTCTTTTCTTTCTTTTGCCCCTTTTCTCGCTTTTGACGATGATGAGTAGAATCAGCCTCCAAACTGTGCTCGCTTGACTCTTGTGAATATTTATTTTCGTTTTGTCTGACAGGTAGCGCAGTTGGCGCAAAACGTGTTATATGATCATAAGGTTTATCCTCAGCTTCACGCTTATGTTTCACAATCTCGCTCGGGTCGGTGATCTTGGTGATCTTCTCAGCAGGCTTAGGATCACTGGGTATATCGGGATTAATAGGACTAGGACGCTCCAACGGTAAATCGTTGCCTTTAACTGCCGTAGAAGTTTGTTGTGATGTAGGAGCCGCAACGCAGCAAGCCACCAAACTGGCCAATATTATCTTCAAGAAAATATAATTAGTCTGATGTCATATAATAAATGTATTTACTCACAATCTGTCGCATCGTTTTATATTTGCTGCATGAACCTTTGAAATATGAACCAACACTACTCTTGTAACCTTTATATTTACGGCTTTTATACATAAATACACAGTTAATATGGAAAATTGAAAATGAGAAAAATAAATAAAAGAAGATTGAAGTGAGAAAATGTTTGTGCACTGTCGGCTAAATATTTACAGGAATTGTTAACTTTTCAACAATTTGTGCTAATTAAAGCGAATGTGAAGCACAAAACAGAGCAGTTATCAATTTCAGCTATATTTTGGAAAGTGGTAATGCAAATCCTCACCACATCACAGATAGTCATATTAGCGACTCAATGCAAACATTTTTATTTTGACCTATTTTTAATGAAAAATGCACAGATAACCCGTCCGCCCATTTGTGAATGGATTGTTCGGTTCATAAATAAAAAATTAGCAAACCGCTCAACTTATTTATCTTCATCTCTAATTTGTTGGTGTGTATTATTTATTTATTTACGAATTTGCTTCATGTTAACAATTGGTTACGCAATGACTCATCAATTAGTGTGTAATTGATAAAAAACTGTTCCAAATGGTTCGACGTTTACGATTGTGACGCTGGGAAAAAATGGAGATCGATTAGTAACAAGATGTCACTCTTTACATTTTAAACCACAATAAAAGGAAGTTTTGTCTTTTAAAATATTCGAAACAAGATGTTTTTAACGGACAGTAAATATGAACTGAAACTCTTAATTTTCATAAAATGTGTCTATAATAATAATGATATAAAAACATACATTAATAATAAATTCATYGACCTTTAATATTGGTAAAATATTTTCCACCGATATATATATAAAATATGTTCTTATGTATGTGGACTTGGAACCAACAATCAATACAATTTTCAGAGCTCTTAAATAATCCGCGGCATAAATTTACACTTGTTACACATTGACACTATAGATAATATATCAAATTAAATATTTTATTATAATATTGCAACTTTTAAATGTTTTGAATAAAGATTATACTATCTAGTGGAGGCCTCTATTTAACCACATTGTCCAATTGACTAAAACTTTATGTATTAATATTTAAAAGCTAAATGTAAACCACTACTAACTAGTTTCATATTCTTGTGCCTCTTCACTATAACTAATATGGCTGTTATCAAAGTGTGCACTTGTTTGAAACACTTGTATCGGTTGAAATTCTCCATCTTTTAAGTTGCTTTGAGGCTGCYCCGGTGTCTCAGAAGAAATACTCGATGCTTTGGCTTTGGCCAGGAGTGGTTTAATAAGTAAACCCTTTAAACTATAATCTGTAACATTCAGCTCAAGCTCCGCAACATCGAGTGACTTTTCTACCTCGTTGACGTTAGTGTTTACCTTATCTACAAACTGTTCCAACTTGTCTATGCGTTCGCGTAGTTTCTGAAAATTATCGCTAAAAGCAAGTATGCCACTGACGTGATTTTCTAAAATGCTGTTATTTTCGGCACGCACCTGAGAATAAACTCAATCTCTTTAATATTCATTATTACATTCAATTTAGTTTACTTACACTAGAAAGCAGTGTTTCGAATTCGTCCAGTCGTGCCAGCATATCCTCAATACTCATACAAATCGGATTAATCTGTGGGAATACAAATGTAAGATGAAGCAGTATGTAGAATATTTTTGCTCACTTCTCGTTCTAAATTAATGCTTTGCAAAATTTTTGCATAGCCCTCCGCAGCCTGTTCAACCATAATTTCCTTTTTAGTTGTCAACAAATATTTGTAYCTTATCAGCAAGGCAAAGTGAAAACAAAACAGCTGTTTCACTGCAGATGTGTTTCTTTAGCACACACGATAGAATGCAATATTCGTSCACTAAACATATCTAAACGTGAATGTTTGTTTGACATTAAATTTCTCATCGATTTGACTTGTTTGACGGCTGTGTATATTTTAAGCGAAAAAAATATATTTTCATAAACTGATTTGTACCAAGTGAATTTGAAGAATTAAAGTGTTCTAACGACAATGAGTAATTACCGAGGAATTGGCGGTGGAGGCTTTCCATATAAAGTGAATCAGAACCGCAACGTTGGGGCATCTATGAACGCAGTGCCTCCACCTTCTTCGCTTAATAATCGTGGAACTCAGAGAGGTGGTGGCGGGGCGCGTGGCCCCGCTGGAACTACTGGAGCTACTAAGTATGGTTATACATCACTGGATTCGATAAGCCAGTTCACAGCTTCTCAAAATCTCATTGGTAAACGCAAAGCACATACAGAAGACGAATATTTTGATGATGATGAGGAACAAACACCGGAACAAGCATATATTCCAGCACCAGGCTCACCCGGCTATGTGAATAAAAACAAGGCAGATAGTGATTCCGATGAAGATCCACTTGATCAGTTTATGGCTGGCATTGAACAGCAAGTACAGAAGGAAAAAGTGCGAAAGGAACATGCAGTAGTYTCTCCAGTCGAAGAGATTCCCGGACCAAAAAATGCGAAGGGCGTGCGCGGAGATATAGATGACGAGGACGACGAAGAAAGTTATTATCGGTACATGGAAGAAAACCCTAATGCAGGTCTTCGTGATGATGGTTCCGATATCGAAATAGAGTATGACGAAGATGGCAATCCAATAGCGCCACCCAAAAAGAAAGATATTGATCCCTTACCACCTATATACCACTCTGAAATTGAATATGAGTCATTTGAAAAGAATTTCTACACGCCACATGAAGAAATTTCTAATCTGTCAGAAGATCAAGTTCGAGAGCTGCGGAAAACGTTGGGCGTCAAAGTGACTGGGCCAGAACCACCAAAACCAGTGTCCTCATTTGCACATTTTGGTTTCGATGAAAGCCTAATGAAATCAATACGCCGAGCAGAATATACCCAACCGACGCCCATACAAGCACARGCAGTGCCTACAGCCCTAGCAGGGCGCGACATTATTGGCATTGCAAAAACCGGTTCCGGCAAGACTGCAGCTTTTGTTTGGCCAATGCTTGTGCACATAATGGATCAGCGTGAACTGCGCACAGGTGATGGTCCCATTGGTCTAATTCTAGCACCCACGCGTGAATTATCGCTTCAAATATACAATGAAGCAAAAAAGTTCGGAAAGGTCTACAATATCAATGTGGTGTGTTGTTATGGTGGTGGCTCAAAATGGGAGCAAAGTAAAGCACTTGAGCAGGGTGCTGAGATTGTTGTGGCAACGCCTGGTCGTATGATCGATATGGTAAAAATGAAAGCGACAAATTTGCGCAGGGTAACCTTTCTAGTGCTAGATGAGGCAGATCGCATGTTTCACATGGGTTTTGAACCGCAGGTTTGCAACATACTTCTAAGAAGTAAGGTATTTTTTATTTGGAAACCTTTTTTTATTCTAGGTTCGATCCATCTGCAATCATGTGCGGCCTGATCGTCAAACATTGCTATTCTCGGCCACATTCAAAAAGCGTATCGAACGTTTGGCACGCGATGTACTCACCGATCCCGTGCGAATCGTGCAAGGCGACCTCAATGAAGCCAACCAAGACATTACACAGTACGTTTATGTGTTCCCCAATCCACTGCAGAAGTGGAACTGGCTACTCTGTCATTTGGTTAAGTTCCTATCAGAAGGCAGTGTATTGGTGTTTGTCACCAAAAAAGCTGATGCCGAGACTGTGGCCAACAACCTAATGGTGAAAGAATACAACTGTTTGCTCCTGCACGGTGATCTAGATCAAGCTGACCGTAACAAAGTCATAACACAATTTAAGAAAAAGGAATGCGACATACTTGTTGCCACTGATGTGGCTGCACGTGGCTTGGATATACCACATATACGCAACGTTATTAATTATGATATCGCACGCGACATCGATACACATACGCACCGCATTGGRCGTACCGGGCGTGCTGGTGAAAAAGGTACAGCCTACACCTTGGTCACCGACAAAGACAAAGAGTTCGCCGGTCATCTGGTGCGCAATCTAGAGGGTGCMGATCAACAAGTACCTGACGACTTAATGGAGCTGGCCATGAAGAGCTCGTGGTTCCGCAATTCGCGCTTCAAACAAGGCAAGGGCAAGAAAATTGCCATTGGTGGCACCGGTTTAGGCTATCGTGAACGCAGCAGCGGCAGCAGCAGCGTAAAATCGAATTCGGCAAATGAGTCCTCCTCGTTCGCATCCATAAATAAGTCAATATCGGCTGCGGGTCCAGCCACCGATCGCTACGCRGCCATGCGCGAAGCATACAAAGCACAATACATGTCGCAATTTCGGGCTTCCACTGATCGCACATGGGAAAAGACTGTGCCTGAGGCAGGCGTTTTCGCAGCACCGGCGCCTGTCTTGCCGTCAATGCAGCCAACGTCCTCAACTTCTAGTGGCAACTCAGCAGCGTCTAGTGCTRGTGATGACAGTGGAAAACCACGCAAGAAGAAAAGTCGTTGGAACTAAAACTGGTGCAAAAGCGATTAAGCACCAAGTGCATATACATATTCGYACTTGGCATAGAGACATTGATTGAAGAGTTGGCGACCGCTGGGATTACATTTAAATCATTCATTGCATATTCACATTTTTGCAAAGTAAAGCTAAATACATTCAAATAAAAAATAATTCACTATAAAATAGCTGTTATTTGTTGCGAAAAGTTGCAGCACGCCGCTCTTTTGGTGTTCTATGTATTTATCCCTTGTTGGCATAATAATAATTATGTGTACGCAGCAAGCTGTAAACAGTCAATCCTGACACTAAAGAAAAAATGTCAACTACGCAACGGATGTGCATAAGTGTGTGTGTGTATTATATAAGCTTATTTGTATAAATGCCGTCAAATGCATATCGCGTGCGATTTCTGTTTAAGTGCATTTATGAGCAACCACTTTTTACCTACCTTACGCTGTAATGCCAATAAAGTTTGGAGAATCGAAAAATGCGTTCATAACTTTTTTCCGTAATTCTTTTATTTTCATCTCATGTCATTCTTAATATATCGGCTCGCATTCTGCGCAATAATCAACACGCTGCCACTGACCATCGCTCGCGTACGCTAAATTTAATTAATTTAATTTTTTTTGTTTTGTTTTTAAATATGTACACAAATATGTTTTAAATACTTATTCGATTAGTTTTTGTTATTTTTTTCTCATTATTTCCTTGGCTTAAACTCTTTAGTTTTTGTGGTATTTATTTAACATAAATTTTGTAAATCGGCATATTGCTCGAAATCTCTGTGCATTTTTATTTATAATAAAAATCACATTTTGCGCATTTTTGTTATTTAATTCTTATGTCAATATTTTGAATTGTTTTTTCTGTTTTATTTTTTATTGTAATTTGCTTCTTTAAACATACATATACATACATATATAATGGGTTCTTCTCGCCGAGCAAATAATAAACCTTGTGCTAAGATTGTGGCAAGCAGATTTTAGTRAAATTATATGTTTCTACAATTACTTGATTTATTTTGCATAATTTTTAATTTAATTTAATTTTTTTTTATTTTTTTTTATTTTTTTGCTTTGCTTATTACATTTTTTAAGTTTTTGAGTTTTGTTTTACATTGAAACCACTACTAAGTTTTCATTAAATATTTTAATGTTATTTTTATATGTTTAAGATTTCTTAAACGTTAATGAAATTATAAATTTGTTCACATTGTTTTTTATGTATTTTTATAATTTTTGTKTGTCTGTTTTTAATAATTTTGTATGTGAACTATTTTTTAATAGTTTCTTTTTATTTCTGTAATTGTGTTGAGTTTTTTTATATTGATTTTAAATATTAAATATATTCAAACATATAATTTTATATATTTAATTTATTATTATTTTTTATGCTCCGCCCACAATCACTAGTTTTTTTTTYCATTTTGAGAGAAAAGTTAAGATTCATTTAACTAGAGAAGAGTAATAATGTATGCTTTCTCATTATTTTTTTTTAATTAAATTTATTTTACTAAATTTTTTTTGTGATTTTGCTGTGTGTGAAATTTTTCGTTTTGGTGAATATTCAAGTAAAACAAATTATTTACAAAAAGTATTTTTTTCTCAAACAACTGGTTGACGAAAATGTTATTAGTGTTATCATTTGCCGAGCGCTAAAAAATKGAAAAATGCTAATAATAAAAAAACTAACTGATACAGGGTTTTTAATATTTTTTGTTCACTAAATTCGGTTTTTCACTAATTAAAAAATGCACGTATTCGTTTTTAAAATTAAAAAAAGAAATACATATTTCGCTTTTACCACCATTTTTTTTTTTTTGGTTTGTTAATTATGTAAGTTTTGGCGTATTATGAAGATTTTTGCCAGATTTTCTCTTGAAATTTTAAAATATAAAAAAAAATTAAATGTTCTATAAAAATGCAATTTGCAGCCGAATTTATTAATTTTAAGGTTATACGGTAAAAGTGGAAATTTTCTGAAAATTACACAGCGAGACTAAAAAATAATAATTGTTGTTGTTATAAGCCTAGGGATTATGCCAGACCAACATACAACAACCAAAAYGTGTTTTTAGTGTTTYTGCTGTGCTGCTTCACACATTTTTACTGTAGTTTCAACTAAAATAATTTCTTTTGTTACAAACCAAGCAAGAATTAAAAAATATTGCAAAAGTGWGCGCAATAACTCGCGTAAGTCCGCCTGTCACGTGTTTCTGCTCCGATTTGTTATTAAAACATATGTATGTGCAAATGAAAAGAAAAATCACAATTTGTTGTTGTTTTTAATACTTTTTTATTTTTGTGTACTTTGTATCAATTTCAATTCACTTTTTTTTAAATATATGTATATGCCATCATTTTTTCACGCAAAATTATTTATGTATGTATTTACAATATTTATGTTTTCATCAAATACCGCTGTATGTATGTGTAGCTACATGCACATAATATGTATTCAAATACTTTAAGCATATTATTTAAGTTTTATTAGATAGTTTTACTTTGTCACTACGATTTTAAGGTTAAATATATATATATGTATATATGTATATTCTTTACTGCTACATACATACATTTGTGTAACTTATCAATTAGAATTAGATTATCTGCTGCTTAATGTCNGTGTATATTATTTTTAATTCTACAATTAATTAAAAAAAATGTTTATTAAAATTATGCAACAATTGAATTTTAATTTTTTAATTTTTCTTTTTGTTTTTGCTTTCATTTATGCTTTGTCACCTACACTACAACACACACGCTCCTCAATTCTCRCACGCGCTCACACTAACACACAGCAAATTGTTAAACGTAAAGTTATTAAGCTTATTTAAATATATAAACACACACATGCAAACATGTACATATGCTGTCTCTTATACACATCTAGATGTGTATAAGAGACAGGTATATATATGTTATTACATATACTATATATATATATGTATATATGTATATTCTTTACTGCTACATACATACATTTGTGTAACTTATCAATTAGAATTAGATTATCTGCTGCTTAATGTCTACCACAAATTAAATTCAATATTCTTTTGCATACTTTTTGTTGTTGTCGGGATTTTATGATTTTTAAAATTTTTTATTTTATTTTATGATTTTTTTCCATTTGCTTAGATGATACTTTTTAATTCTGCTTGATTGTTAGGATTTTAAGTAAAACTAAAATACATATACATATACATATTTATGCACATACTATTTATTTATATACGCACACTAAAGAGTTTTAATTTCAGCAATCACATAGGTGTGTATGTTTGCATATACATATGTATGTGGATGCAGCGCACATATACAGATGCATACATCAGCATTTACATATATACTTACATACATACGTACATATTAGTGATGTGCTCCTTACTACTTATTTACCGTTTTCAATAACTATTTACATATGTATGCGTTATGTTTTATATAAGCATGTATGTATGTGTGTATATAGATGTGTATAAGAGACAGGTATTTATGCTGTTTGGATAGTGTCTGCACATTTTTTTTTATTATTTTATAATTAAATTAGTTTTTTTTTTATAATGTACACGTAAATTAATATTTTTTTATAATAATAGTTACTTTTTATTTATTTCTTTATTTAATTTTTATTTTATTTTAATACTTTGTACAATGGAAACATTGATAAATGTTTGCCCCAACACATTCTTACATGAAACATCACTATTTTCCGTTCGCCATTTTATCTGAATGTCAAAGACGTAAAGATTTTGTGTAAAAAATAATTCAAAAGCGAAATTTTTGTCGAAAAAACGCGCATAAAAACTAGAATTTGTATATGCTGTTCAACAATTACAAGTGTATATAAAAAAGATATTAAACTTAATGCAGGCAAAAAGAAAACAGTTGCTTGTGTGTAAATTACCACTTTCATGCTCAATGTAACTATTTTTATGTCAGGCGCTGTCAATTCTTACTTAGTAAATCCGTCATTTGTAAAGCATGAAACTTTGTACATTTAAAATTTATAACGAAGTAGTTGTTTTTTTTACGGTTTAAAATCACATTTCATTATTTTTGAATTCTTTTAGCATTAATTTCTGCATGTATTTGTTTTAACTTTAATTATTTCTTTTTTACTTTTCTCACACCAAAGCATTGTTTCTTTTTTAAGCAGGCAAAGTGAGCTTTGAGCTTACATGCACCGGTAGCTTTTATTATTAAAGCTTTCATGCGTCGAAAGCTTTCACTATTTGGAGCATTCATGCATCGAAAGCTTTTGCTATTGGAGCCTTCAKGCGCCGAAAGCTTTTACTATTAAAGCTTTCACGCACCGAAAGCTTTCACTAATGGAGCTTTCAAAATTTTACAAAAACTTCAAGCAAACAATTTATTTAAGGGAAATTTTGCCGAAAATGTGCAGTCACTGTACAAGATTGCCTACCAAAAAAGCGCGCTAAAGGGTTCAATAGACTTGTCACCGCAAAGTTTGTGAGTACTCATTATTGCAATTGCTTTTCTGCTGCATTTAAGTGTGTTGAAATATTAATAATACTAAGTATGTACAGCTCGAAAGTTAGCTCTCAAAGAAATTGCTATACTTTTTATTTCATTTATGTAATTTTCGTCTATATGCTTGTTGTTGCTTGTTGGTGTGCTTGTTGTTTCATAAAACTTTTTTAAGCGCARCTACTCTTGAGTTCATTTCTACTTAATTTTGGTAAAGTTTGATTTTCGTTGAAAGTTTATAAACAAAAACATAAATATGATGGCAATTTCATAAAACTTTTATGCAATTTTTCTCTAAACTTTTAAACTTTGAATTTGTTTATTTTATTATACTCTGTTCTCGAAGAAACACCACATATGGTTTATTACTCTCGTACAATGTGTATAACTGTATGCCGTGCCATGTTTTTGACATTCTTCGAAAGTGGAAATGTTACGACGAGCTGCCGCCCGATTTATTGACTTATGCCGWTTTAATAACCTGTAGCATCTTATGTATTTATGTATGTACACGTGTCACATTGGTGGTTTGTGTTGCTCAAGTTCTCACACCTCAACGCTCTTACGAGAGAGTTCGCTTTGTTGTTGTTAGTTGATTGTTGCGGTTTGACATTTCGTTTAGAAGAACTCCTTCAGTAGATTGTCTCAATCGAATAGCGTGGAAAGTATGTCGTCGTTGTTGTTGTTGTTGCTGGAACCGCTCGATGGTGGCGTATTCAGATCGGGTTGTGGATCCAAGTACGACAGAATTTCCATGGGATCAACATCCGGTAGCAACTGAAAGTATTGAAGGGTGACGATTTTGAGTTATTTTGTTATCTGATAGACAAGGAAGCTCTTAGGAAGCCATTTTTAAGATTCCTAACTTAAAATTGTAAAAAATTACTGAATCACCATTATATATGCAATTTTAATGCTGTCATATTTGCCTATATTTTCAAGGTTTGACTACTCTAAACGCAAATATYAGTTAAGCTTGGATCTCCCTCTTGCTCTCACGCTCTCACGCTCTCAAGTTATTCAATATCTAATTAATGCCAAAAAATTCTTCACGTTGAMATTTTCTTGATGCGACACATATAGTTGAACACCTTAGCTTATACACAGTAAAATATCACTAAAGACTGGACCTTTAACACTTCTCAGGTACTCGCATCACTTATTTCTCAACTACCAAATTTAAACATTACTAGCRCTGTATTTATAGAAAGTAATTCCACTTACATTCAAGTCTCCGGAACCGTCATTGTTGTCCATRTTCAATTCCGCATTCAAATCCGTTTCGTTGAGATTCGACAAGCCGTTCGGCTGTGAGTTGATTAGCGAATTGATTATYTGCTCTTGCTGCGATTGTTGGACTGACTGTTGTGAATGTTGTTGCTGTTGGTGCGAATCATTCGCACGATTGGATGTAGGGCCGCCGGGTTGGCCGGGCGTGCCAGGTGTTTGTGGTGAGGAGTTTGAAATATTCGCATTGGGTGTCGATGGCTCGTTATGCGCCGAGCTGACACTTGGTGGACCGCCGGGAGTCATCGGATGCATTGGTGTGTGCGGCGTGTGAGGCATCTGCGGAAGAGTAAAGCAGTGGTTAGTTATTGAGTTGCGAATTGTTGTACACTGATTTGTTGTATTCCATTGAYAGTTATGCAATACAATACTCACCTGATCTGTTAAGCTTTTCTCCATGGCGTTAAGCTGGTCSAGAGAATTGGCTGTGTCACCTGCATGCTGATCGGCGACGCCCACGTCACCACCGCCGTACATATCAAAAGGGCTGCGTCTGCAAGATAAAAAGTGGTTGTAAGTTAGGACTTCTTCGCTACACTCAGTCGGTTTAACAAAGAAACTTACATTTGACCAGCGCCGGGTACATTGGGCGTGCCCGCATTCATGTCGTGTTGCATGTAAGGACTCATCGCCTGCGAGTTGTCCCATGGTGACATAACTTTCGATTGATCGTCAAATGTGTTTTCCTGTTTAATAGTGGGTATATTGGGACCACTYAGTTGACCAGCCATCTGGCCTACCATCTGAGCACCCATTTGTCCGGGCATTTGATTAGGCATTTGACCGGGCATTTGTCCTCCTACCATCTGACCCATTTGTCCTGGCATCTGACCTGGCATTTGGCCGGACATCTGTGCGCCCATTTGCCCTGGCATCTGTCCACCCATTTGGTTAGGTGCCTGGCCGCCCATTTGTCCTGGCATTTGTCCGCCGGGCACTTGACCAACCATCTGTCCTGCCATTGGGCTGGGCATTTGTGCCGACATCGCAGTGAGTGGAGAGCCTTGATGAATRCCTTGCGCCGCGCGCCAATTACCACTCGAATCGACAATGACCTCGTCCACATCCGTGCCATTCAGTTTATCCAAAATGGCCCAGACATACTGATCGATCTCTAAGCTTTCGGTTAGCGCAGGTTTACTGTAATGAAGATGAAGTTTTAGCGTTGAGTTTTCGAACGAACTAATATAAAATGTGAAAGTATTTGATGGAGATGATGATAGATATACTCACTTGCATTCTGGACACCGCCAGGCGCCACGTTCGCAATTCATAAGCAGATATGCCTCCAGATCGAAACACTGGATATGCTTGCACTCGTGTCCTCGCGCAGGCATGCGTATTCGAGACTTCATGATCGGACATTTCAATGAGATCTTGGTGCATTTGGTCGCTTCCATGTTGCCAGCGCCGGGTTCTAGTGGGCCGTTGGTCGTTGAGCAGACCATGAAGTTGCGTTTGATTTTGGCCACACAATGATCTACGGGTAAGCAGTTGCGTTTGTGCAGACTCTGGAGTACATGCCGCACGGAGGGTCGATGGACTAGCTGCAGCACGAACAAGTGGGACTGTAAATGAAGAAGATTAACAATTAAAYATATAGTTAATAAAAGACTCGAAGGGCTATGTGGAGGGAGTWAAATACTTACACAACAGCAGGAACTAGCGGTTAATTGCAGAGTATTGCGTCCGGGTTGACATACCGCCTTGAGATATAGCGGCCGCAATGCTTGACCCGTCTTCTCGGAGCGTTCAATGGTGAGGGGCGTAGCATTGGCAGATACTGTTACCGTATGCGGCCAATTTGTGTTCATCTGTCGGTCATCTTGGTGGAAGCATTTCAGCTGCAGCTCGAGATCGGAGCTGAAAACAAARAAATAAATAGRCGATTAGGCTCTGTAGCGCATTTACGTTCTCAGATGGGATTGACTTACCGACACATGAGCGTATTGTAGACATTCTGCTTCAAGTGAAATACGTGATTGCTGACGGAGAGATTGTGCAGCAAGCGGAACGGTGGAAGTATGATGCCATCACGGACGGGGAATGTCAGTCGCATCTCTTCGCCTACAAACCCAACAATATTGTAGATTGTGCGATGATATGAGTGAGCGTTTGTTTGTGTGTGTGTGTGTGTGTGTAAGGAGGGTATATAGAAAAGTGAAGAGAAATAGAAATGTGTTAGACAAATATTTTCTACGTGCTTTGCGGTTGTTTTGTCGACTTACAGTTGTCCATAATTGGTTTGATGTCTGGATTCGGACTGATGTATGGAACGCTGCAGGCAGGTGTTAGTGGCGGCGTCGGATTACCAGGAACTGGGCTGTGTTGGTAATTTTGCTGGAAACTACACAGGGAAATAAGAATTCAATAAATCTTTATAAACTTGCAAGGCTATGGCTGGATAGCGGGAGAATTGATAGTTTGGCATATAACTAAACGTTGGACTATATGGAAGGGACGAAGGTTGTGGATCAGAGGATTGAGGGAAATACAATTATAACACATTATGACATTTTGTACTCACCCTTGATTCTGGTACATGGAACCGGTATTCGTTAGGGCGCCCGGACCAGCCGGACCCATGCCAGGACCACCAGCACCATTTACGCCTGGATAATATTGATTCTGTTGATGCGCCATGGCGGCACTATAACCGCCAGGACCTTGCGGCATGCCACGTTGCATTGCACTCACACCGCCTGGACCCATACCGCCTGGACCCATAACACTTGGACACATTCCACCAGGACCCATGCCACCTGGACCCATACCACCGGGACCCATGCCAGCCGGACCCATACCACCAGGACCCATACCACCCGGACCCATGCCACCGGGGCCCATACCGACTGGACCCATTGCATTAGCTCGACCATAGCCACCCATTGGACCRCCACGAGCATAGGCGCCCGCTTGCATAGGTACTGGCACACCGCTACCCGCTTGCGGATGCATCTGTTGGCCATAGTGTTGCATGCTCATTTGCGGAGGAACATTCTGCATCGAGGGATTACCCATGGAGGTGTAGCTGGCTCGCTTCTGCGCCGCATGCATTTGTGCGCTGGGATATGGTGTGCTGCGWCGCGCATAACCACCGTTCGCCATGCCTTGCATTTTGGCCATCGGGCCAAGGCCGCTCATTGCCTGCTGCTGCTGTTGTGGCGTCATCTGTGGACCGCCACCCATACTCATATTCTGCATCTGATTCATTGGGTTCATCTGTAATGAAGAATTTCAAATTTTAGTTTAAATCACTTAAATTAAGTGCAGCGAAATCTTTTGGAACTAAAGTCAATCTTCTKAGTTTCAAGGACGCCTACACGAAAGCTATGTTCACTGTTTATTTGTTTGTACTGCGGTTGAGCATTAGCAACGGCCTGATTTAGAGKAATGTTAAGTTCGGAGGACCAGGGACGCATGTGGCTACAATATGTACCATCGCACTCTTCWGTTAAGGGTACGGGCTCACTTAGAACTTCCGTCAKAKTATGACCAGCCTGCACAGCAGCTAACGGTTCTGAAACCTCCGGAGGGCTTCTAGGCGCCTGGGAAGCTATATTAGCGGCCTCATTGGCCATTATAAAAGTTCACTCGAAACGCGATTGCGGGTTCCAAAAAAGTTCAACACAAATATGCACTTCTAAATTTCAGATTGTAGAAAATTCGGCACGTTCTATCAAATTTTGACTCAAAAAAAYAACGACCTCAAATTGTATGCTATGCTTGAAATATTTGTGCGTGAAAATTTTYGAAAAAAATTCGAAATTGAAATCACTTATGTAGAATGAGTGTATGCTCAAGCGAATGTTCAAGTTGTAAGGAAGCATAAGGGGTATGAATTTGTAAAAGAAAATAGAGCTGAAGCAGATTTATCATCTGATTACTAGGTTTTTCAAAAAACAAAAAAGCAGTTACATTCATTCAATGCATAGATTTGACCTCATAGAGGTCATTGAGACTTTTCGAAAGCGGCTGTCTTAAACACAGCAGCAAGGCGCAAATTATAGGACTGTTTTACTATTGCATACTTTTGTAGCTGATGTAACGATCTATTTATAAAGCAGCCGTCGTTATATACCTAGCTGCCTAGGTTCATAGATACATATGTACAYGCGTTACATGGCTCAAAGGTAATATATATACGAACGCGGGGCAGCTGCAGTGWGTGCCCACATAACCTTCACTGTTCGGCGAATGTGTCACCGCAAAAYGCGCTGCTCATCAGTAGCGCTTCAAAGGCGCAGCAACTGCGCATGCGCACAYGGTTTTTGCGATTTTCTCTTATTTCATTGTAACAAAAAGCATTTGCGATTTATTTTCCCTTTTATTATGTGCGATTATTTGTTATAAAGTTTGTTTGCACATATTTTATTGTTGTATTTTTTGTTTTTGCTGCCAGCAACGCGTTCGTTGTCGTTTTGCTTTCTCTATGTTGAATTATGTGCATATACACACATACATATATAGTATAGGCASATTCGTATGAGCATTTCGAAGCAYATAAATTGTTGTTGTWGTTGCTGCAGCAACGACTCTAATGCTTTTTATTTAATTATTTTCGCTTGCTACGAGCGGCCAGCCAGCGCTTGCGTGTCACTGCATTCACCAGCCGCGGTCCGCCATATGACGTTTGAAACAATTAAATTTGTTATTGAATTATAAGTGAATAGAAAAACAAAAACATACAAATGAGAGCAGAAAAAATCATCCTAACGCCAATAATATGCAGAAAGGAGGGGGAATATACCGAAATCGGGTTGCCTGAGAAAAGCTGCGACTGCACAGCAATTGCAGTTGTGACATGCGATTTGGTGGCAATCATTGCTTCAACTGCAGTCAATACAACGCAGTTAGCAATAAAATTTAAAAATTACAAAAACACAAACAACTATGATGCAAAAAAATGTACATGAGCAGTTGTAGTCAATATGCGCTTTTTGCTGATCACACACACAAGTCATTTGCATATTCGTGTGCATGTGTGTGTGCGCGTGTGTTTGCAAGTTGAAAGGCATGCAGGAATGTTTGTGTATAAAAATCGATGCGACAGTTGAGACGTCTGAAGTTCAACTTRCGACAAATGCACTTCGCACTCATCGGACGTTTTTACAAATCGACAATATGACAATATGACAGTAGTAGTCTGTGTAAATATTGGCATAGGAAGGTGAGAAGTGCAGTTGCCTGCCAATACATGCGTAAGTACACATGTTTATCTTGCACTACAAGGCGTTGTGGTGATAGGCACAGTGGGCTAGAGTTGTTAGATTTTCAAAATGTTGAAAATTAAAAATTAGGTGAAATTAATACAAAAAAATTAAATTAAATGCAATGAAAATTGTTAAGCAAATAAATTTAAGAAAAAACAATTATAT